GGCGCCATCCCGCCACCAGGGCGCTACGAAACACCGATCGTGCGCTACTGCCGAGGGATTGCGTGCAGGGCAGGCGTTGGCGCCTCTGGTGCGAACTACCACCGGCGAGTCGGGAGGGCCCGACAGTTAGTAAGTTAGGGGTCGGGGAGCGAGAGAGTAGGACCCTCCGGGCACATGGGGCCTGGGGAGGGAGGGCGCAGCCGACTGGGCTAGAGGCGCGAGGGGCGAGAGGCGGGCAGACGCTGCAGTAGTAGCTAGTACACTCTAGTTACCGTAGCTGGTAGTATGTGTGGAGAGAGGGCTCGCGCTTCAGGGCTCTCTCGTGGAGTGTGCCACGTGATACTGTCGAGTGTGTGTCTGGCACTGCCACTGGTGTCGTGGACGTGGTGTGTGCCCGGCTCCGCTGGAGTCCTTTATCTGAGAGGTGTCGCGCCACCTCGCCTGGTATCGGCTGGGTCGCGGCCTCTGTCGGGGCCGGTCTCGGGTCTGCCTTAAACAGATCGTGTACCATTGCTAGGCCTCCGCTCCACTAAAGCTACGAGGCTACGTATCGCACTCTCACGTACCGCAGACACAGTCCGAGACCCGCCGTCGAACGCGGCTCGGCGAACTCCTTTGTGCAACGAACTCCCCTCCCCCCTCCCGGCCTGTCACCCACAGATACCAAGCTCTCAAGATCGCACAATCGAGGGCGGAGACATGCCCCGCCCCCGCCCCCCAAGCCCCCTTCCCCGCTGCCCCTCCTCCCCCGGACGATTGCGGAACCGGCAGGATTGGGCAAGAACGTACGCGCGGCGCAGCATCAAACAAAGCAGCGAGCGGCGCCTTTCTAAACGCGCCTCAGGCCTCCGCGGGCGGCGACAGCAGCCGGGGCGAGCGACGTGGGGGCGCGGTGAGCGGCTTGGCCGGTGACCGCACACGGCGCCGACAGATCGGGCACCGAACCGCCTCCTCTGCCTCCGCCGCCGCTCCTGCGATGCGGGCAAAGCAAGGCGCGCACATGGCGTGCCCGCACTCTGCTGGCGCGACGGGGGCGAGGCTGGCCGGGTCGAGGGCCTGGGGGGGAGGCGGGTCAGGTGAGGGGGGGGGAGTGACAGGGCCAGGAAGAGAGAGCGGTAGCGGCAGGAGGTGGAAGGCGCGCTCCTCGAGGCAGACAGGGCAACTTGGCCTCTTGTCGGTGGAGAAGATCATCTCGAGCTGCGAGCCCAGGAAGCCGCGCGTGAAGGCGTAGTCGAGGACCGGCCGCAGGCGCAGGTCTCCCTCCCCCTTCAGCTTGTTGACCTTCTTCACAATCTTGCGCACTCCCGTCCGCGTCAGCTCTGCCCAAGCGTGCAGCGCCTGCGCCCGCTCGCTGAGGGCGGGGTCGTCCTCACCGCGGAGTGTCAGCACCGTGCGCACCGCCGTCTTCCACTGACGGTCAAGCCGCGCGAGCCAGCCCGATACAAAGGACCAAAACGCCAGATCGATATCCCCGCTTCTAGGCACGCTGCCGCCGCCCTCCGCAAGGAAGCCGGACGCGCCCATGCGCAGTATTTTAAGCTTCTTTTTGAATTGGCGGTAGGGAAGCGCCGGCACCGGCGCCCCGATCTCCACATCTCCTCGTAGAGGCCGTCCGAGGTCTTGCCGAACTTCATATCAGGGCGACCGAGTGCACCGTTGACCAGGCCGATCAGGTCGACATCGATGGCGCGAATCCGCCTGCCCAGAGCCTGTGGCCCAATTCGTGGGCCGCTGGAAACGCGGCGTGAAATCAGGCCGTCGGAGATCCACCAGCTCCTGCTGGCTGGCTGTTGCTTGTGAAGAACACGTGTCGCATGTCTGACTGTCACTGTGCGATTTCGGGGCCCGGGGTTGTGCGTTTATGTGAAGAACAGAGAAAAGTGGACAGAACATAGAACACGTGCGCGGACGCTGCCTCAAGGTCAGACGCCATACGTGGCAGCGACCTCATCGGCCTGGCGCTGTCGCCCCGCCCCTGTAAGCACCTTGACAAGGTTGCGGGCCGAGTTCTGTGTCTCTTTATGCCCCTTTCCGTACCGCGCATCGCATCCCTCCAGCTCCTCCCGGTGG